GCGGGGAGCCGGCGCGGCCGCGCGCCGCCCTCTGGGCAGAGCTCCCGCGCACCGCGGCGGCCGCTCTGCGGCCTCTACCCCGCAGCACGTGCGGACGCTCGAGCCTCGACGGGGCCATTGGCCCCTTCACACGTCAACACCAGACAGAGCAAACCAGGCTCCGGGGCACGGAGCTCCCAGCTTCCCAAACTGCAGCCTGCCGGCAGCAGGGAGGTGCCGGCTCGCTCCGCAGCTCCTTGCTGGCACCTGCACCATGGCAGGAACCACCCTAACCCCATGAGATATTTTTCCAACAACTTTCCTGAGTTTTCCCAGGAAATCCGGCCTTCCAGGTATTACACACGAAGCCCCGGATCCCCCAGGCAGCTGGTCCCTAAGAGCCACAAGGGAAACGCATCTCAGCGAGCGGGTTTCAGAGCAGATGCATCCTGACAAACAGGAAAAATGAAGCAGCAAAAATCAAACCAAGCCTTTACCTCCAGTGACCTCTCTGCTTCGCAGGGCCTGGGTAGGAAAGGACACGCTTTTCCTGGAGCCACCACAAGAGTAAAAGCGATGGGGCCACCCAGCAGTACCCGGCACCCACAGCCCTAGGCTCGAGGGATGGACTAGTCACACAACATCACGTTGCTCTTCCTGCCCTGCACTTCTGAGGATGTCAACGTCAGGAACAGAGGCATCTCTCACTTGACCTCTACTTCATTTTTCTTTTTTTGAGATGAAACAAGTTATCCTAGTGCAGGAGTGCAGATTTCCTATGGATGCAGGGTCTTCTCTCTAACTGCCTATAGAAATGGTTGTCCCCAGTGGTGGCCCCTCTTTGGTCAAACAAACCAAAAATCAGGCAGAACTTTCAGAAAGCATCAGTAGCCGAGAGCCAGGAACGTGTGGCCAGGTTTACAGGCAAAGCTCTTTGCCATATCACACGTATCTAGCATTAAAATATCCCCATAAGGCTTCAGCATTAATGCTGCAGTGAGACAACGGGAAGCATCCGTATCTCGGGGCGGCTCTTGCAGGGAGCCTGGCAAGAGATTTCGTTAACGCCGCTGCAGCTCACACTGCCTGGTATCTTCAACAAGAGCTGCAGGAGCTCTTTCTCCAGCCAAAAATTAAGGTTTTGTGTGCGCAATTCAGAGCGAGGTCAGAACAAGGCACATTCAGTCACATTAGACGTGGGGCAGCGGGAACGGGGGGATCCCATGTGTGTGCTGAAGAGGAGCCCCAAGGAGCACTGCCCATCACGGGGACGTGGGAGCATCCAAGAGAAACCACGAGCGGGCAGCCGCACCACGAAGGTGCCCGTGCCCTGCCCAACGGCCTCTGCTTGGCGTTTTCACTCCTCCAAAATTACCAAGAGCGTATCCAGCCTAGCCAGGAACAAGCTCCCGCAGCCCACAGGCTCCATCCTGGAGCATTTCTCCTGCACTGCTTTCTGCAACGCCCGGAAACCAATAGCTATTTTTTTCCTGGCACTAATTTTGTGGAAGGTAAATTTCTGAGTTAAAGGGGGGAAAAAGCCCTATGCAAATAGGTGGGTCTAAGGCAATGCAAAGAGTGGCTGGAATTACCATTCCCACAATTAAGAGAAGGAGATGCGCTCGCATGGCAGCTGTTAGTACCTTTGATCAGCCGATACCACTGTTTGCAGACAAGGGCGGCGGTTTTGTGCTCCTGGTAGGGCGAGAGGAAGGAGAGGATGTATTCCAGAACCTCCTCTGGGAGCTCCAGCATGGATCTGTTGTGCCTGCTCTCCTGCAGCTCCAGCTCGGCGTGAGGCTCGTCGTCTTGCTCCATCGTCCCTTCGACCGCGGCGTCTTCGGGGTCCACGGCCATGAAACCATCATCTTCGCTGTCCGAGGAGCTGGCCATGGCATCCCACTGCGCGGCTTAGGGGAAAGACATAGGATGTGTTAAAGGTCACAGGGAAACTTGGGAAAGCTCTGACCCGCGAGCTGCAAAGTGCGGCCGCAGCGTGTTCTGAACACGCGCGCGGTCCCAGCACGCGCCGAGTGAAGCTCTCGGATTTTGCAACGCTCTGAATCTCGCTGCAGATTCAGCGCCAAGCTCGGGGCAGAGGGGCCCGGTATGCAGAAACCCAGGTTTGGCACCCTTCCTCCCCAAAACCACCGCCGCCTGCAGGAAAAGGACCAAATGAGGGGAGGTGCTGGGCTGCTCCCTGCACCGCGTCTTCCCAGGCCGCTGCTTCGGACCTTGCTGCTCTCAGATCTACAGAGACAGCCAAAAAAAATACCCGCTCCAGAAACCAGTGTCCCAGCGCCCACGCCGCCTCTGTGCCCTCCCCAGGTGCTGGAGGGCATCGGACCTGCCGTAGGGGCAGCTCCTGGCGAGGGAATGGGGTTGGCAAAGCCCCCCAGGGACTGCCCCACGCTGAATTCCCAAACACGGAGACTGGACGGCGAGTGGAGGTGCCGGGGGCAGAGGGCTCCCCACAGCAAAGCCGGTTGGAAGAGGAGCCAGGAGGCGACAGCTTCGCGAGCTGTCCCGCTCTGCGGAACCAGGACGGAGCAATTGGGACTTCTCAAGAAAGAGGAGGGGAGGGGGAGGAAAAAAAGGGGGAAAAAATCCCAAATCTCTGCCAGGTTCCTCCAAGACCCCCCCTTGTGCTTCGTTTTCAAACCACGTGCACTCATTTGCTGTAGACTAGAGGTGGAAAATATGCAGGATTCGCTCCCTGTAAAAGGCAGGAAATGGGAGCTCCAGGTGTTCAGAGGGCCCTAAGTGTGAGATAAAGCCCACTCAACAGGAAGGTGCTGCAAACTGCTGCAGTAGCTGCATCCAGAGCAGCCGCCTGGCACGAGGCGCAGGCTGCAGCGGGTAAGTCCATTCGGAAAGGGAAGCAAAGCCCCGGAGCCCATTTCCCAGCAGATCTCCCTCAAATCCTGCTCAGCTTTTCTTGGAAGCCTCCAAAGGCAGAAATCCTCGAAGATTCCCTAAATCCAGGGTTTATTCACCAAAACAGAGACCCCACCAAGCCCCCGGGGGCAGCACGCTGTGCGATGTGAAGGAGCAGCGGTTTTGGGGGATGAAGCACGTGGTTATCAGGCTACCGGCCGCTCCGGCACCTTCCCGTGTCCACCGCCGCGCCAAGGGAACACCGGGAGCGGGATGCCAGCGCCGGCGGCAACAACGTGGAGCCCAGGCAGGCGCAGCCAAACCCACGGGTGTCCAAACTGCAGGAGCTGGAACCCTCACAATAAAGGCAAAAGTTGCATTTAAATTCCAAGAAAATCATCAGAAGCGGGGCTGGGTCGGGTGCAATGGGACATGCGGAGGTGCCGCACGGGGCTCCGGCTGCTCCTCCCCACGCTCGTGTCTCTCTGTGGGTCTGCCGAGAGGCTTCCTGCTGGAAGCAGCAACCAGGCAGGACTCGGGAGCGCAAAGGGCTTCGGAAAAGCCCTTCTCGGGGGTGCCCTTCGCCCGGCGCACGCGGCCGAGGCTCCACGCCGGCTCCTGGGAACATCCTTCCCTGCCGTGTCGTTGCCAACCCCTCTTTAAGAACAGTCTACGGATTCTTGAATTTCTCCGGAAAATTGCAGGAAGCAGCTTGAAGCCAAGAGGAACCCGGCGGGGCATCAGGACAACAAGCACTTGCCGGGAATTGCTCTGCATCCCCCCCAAAGAAACAGGGATGATGTCAGACGACAGCGGATTTAACTCGAGCTCGCTGTTCCGCACCGATTTGTAAAATCATAAATATTTAAAGGCGCCTCCTTCGCTAAATCCCGGGTTTCTGCGAAGCCCAGCTCAACAAACAGCCCCTGCCAAGCCTTGTGCACGGGATGCCAGGACGCGGATCACCATTCCCATTTTATTTTCCATTTTGTGTTGAGTTAACTAGACACCATCTCTCAATTAGATGGTCTTGCCAGTGCTTTCTATTGGTGCTGAACCAGGCTGCGGTTTGTCATGCAGGCGAAAATTAATATCCGAGCAATGCAAAAAAACACAACCAAGGAATTTCAGCCATGGCCTCATCAAAAATTAAATGCGATTCAATTAACTTGCCAAGATGGATGTGGAAGCCCCATCTGACTCACCACTGCAAAGGTGCTCGGAGCTCTTGAAGCACCAGTGACATTTTGCACCTCACAACCACCCTAAAGAGCTCTTATATCCCAGCAGCAGAAATACTTCAGGGCATTTAGTCATTAGCTGAAAGCTCCGCCAGAGGGAAAACTGAGACTGCTTTAAAAAAAGAGCGTGAAAACGCCACAGCACCATCAAACCAGAGCTCTGCTAGCACTGAGCAAACGTCCCAACCTCCCTGCAGGTTCCTGCCCTGCCAGCTGGTAAAACTCTTCCCAACATCTCCCTCCTTTCAGGGGACAGCAATTTTCTCCCCCTTCCCCATGGGCTCAAGGGCCTGCTATCTATTCTGCCAATGCGGTTACCCGGTGCAGAAGGATGAGCACGGGAGCAGGATTAGGCACGAGATGCAGTTGGTTCCCGTCACTCTCCAGGAGCCACAAGCCTCATTCCAGCAGGTAAATTCCATTGGATCCCAGGAATAATGCACTATTTCCTCTGCTGAAGAGGGGTTCATGCTTCTTTGGCAGAACAAGAGCACAGGGAGGGAGCAAAGCGGGTATTGACGGGAGAAAGAGAAGACCTCAAGAAGCCACGGGAAACCTCGCAGTAACAGTGCCACGAAAGGGAAGGAACAGCGACAGCAAAGCCGGGTATTTAATCCCAGTCACATTAGGGAGGGGAAAGCAATTAGTTTCACGATAAATGAAGCCATGAATTGCTTGGGGTTGGGGTGAGGAGACCATTCTGGGGGGCTCCAGAGTCCTGACAAAAAGCTGTTCTCGGGCACTTCCAGCTCTCCAAGCAGCACATCCCAGTGCGAAGCTCTGGGAAACGGGATGAGCAACATCCTGCCACAGGGCCTAAAATGGCAGGATGAAGGAGGGAGGCCTTGAGGACACCTGCGACCAGCTTTTCTTTTCATGCCCACCAAACAGGCAATTACGAGCTCTTTGAAGCAGCTCCCTCACCCTCACCCCCGCCCCTTTTCGGCAGGAAATTGGGTTTTTCCTCCCAATAGGATCTCACTGCAGCCTTGAAAACAAAGGTTCCGTAGGCGCCACCTGCAACGTCCCCCTCCCAGCACCTCCTCTGGCTGCGCCCTCCTGCCGTGCCGCTCGCGGGGCTTCCGCAAGGATCCCAGAGCCAGGTGCACACACAGGTTCACAACGACGCTGCTTGCGGCGCAGCGCGTCCTGCACTGCACCTGGAACCCGGGAATCTGCATGGAAATGCTGCAAGGAAAACGTTTGACAGGGTTAGCAGGAACCCCTGCCATGCCTCCACGGGGCTGCGCTGCGGGGGTTCACTCTCTGCGAGCGCTCGCTTTTATTTTAAGCTTTCAGCAAGAAAACGAAGTCAAGCAGCAAGGTTTATTGTTGCACAATGGCAAACTAACCTGAGAAATTATACTCTGCCTAGTGCATCTTGCTGCGAAAGCTCAGAATACTTCACAAGAAAAGATGAGATTGCTGGCAGGAGCAGTTTGCCTCGAGGGTTAGTGAAACATTCCCGGATGGAGAGGGCGAAGCCGAGGTGCCAGGACTGTGCGCGCTGCAGAAAGCTAAGCGCAGATCTCCAGCGTGCGGCCACAAAGCCCACATCCACAGCAAACGGGTCTGAAGCCTCTCTGGTTTCTTGGGACAGCCTTATTTCACTTGAAATAACTTGTTTGTCCAAGCATCGAGGTATCGGAGACCCCAGCAAGACTCCTCCAGAGCAGGAGCTGGTGAAAGGGGATGTTGGTTGAGCTGTTCCAGCGTCTGCTGCTGCCCGACGAGCCCCACGTTCAGACACATTAAACACCCTGGCCCCGTGAAGCTGCGTGGGGCTGTGTCCTCCCCGCGCTCCCACTCAATCCCAGGTGGGTCTGAAGCCTTTCTGCTTTCTTGGGACAGCCTTATTTCACCTGAAATAACTTGCTTGGCCAAGCATCGAGGTATCAGGGACCCCAGCAAGACTCCTCCAAAGCAGGAGCTGGTGAAAGGGGATGTTGGTTGAGCTGTTCCAGCGCCTGCTGCTGCCCGACGAGCCCCACGTTCAGACACATTAAACACCCTGGCCCCGTGAAGCTGCGTGGGGCTGTGTCCTCCCCGCGCTCCCACTCAATCCCAGGCATCCTGGTGAAATTCCCCTTGGATTTTCACACTTCCAGCACCAAGGGCACTGCAACCCTCCAGCCAATGCAAGCATCAGCCCCGCGCAGACACGACGTTCCAGCCAGGCGGACCCAAACGCGGTCTGTTCCAGAAACTGGGATGCCAGAACCTGCTGGATTGTTCCCGTCTAGCTCTGCTCTCAAAATCCATCGCCCAAAGCCACCCCAAACGTTGTCGGAATGGGGAAGAAATACTCACTGGGCTCACGCGCTCCCTCTGCTGGCTCCCTCCAAGCCATTAAGACCCAACTAAAAGAT